AATTTCCAGTGGACAGACTGTAATACCATATTGGGGTCCTGATGGACCTTTGACTTCATTAGACATTACAAACAAATATGATAATTAAATAGTGTTACTAGACCCTACTCCATTGTTCTATTTTCCCACTCACTTTATAATTTCACTCACGGTAGGAAGTTAAAAATACTTAATACTCTTTATTCACCCACTTTTATTCTTGAAATATCCTAGATACAATTAACATCATCGACTCAATTCGACAACATCATTTGACTCAATTCGACTGCGAGAGGTCTGAAAGAGGGAGGGAGAGAGAAGGGCTCTAGATTATTTAGGTATTTACGTCATTTGACGTAGGGTTCTAGATTATTTAGATATTTACATCATTCGACTGAGTCTTCTAAACTCTCAAAAAAATGAATCGTAGCGAAAAAGTCATCAGATGATCCCCTTAAAAAAACAAGTGGGGCCATGGCCAGAGCTGCTGAAGTTCTTATGAAATCCAAAGTCTCCATTCTCGTAGCCACTGAGATTTTATATAATGGTTGGGGAGGGGACCAATGTGCTTGTTTAATACATTTTATGTTCCTCTAAAATACAAAGAAAAGTTGTATCGGGTATTGTTTTTTTGATACAAGCGATAATGAGAAAATTAAATTGAACTTGAACTTTTGGGTGTAAGTTGAAAGTTAATGCGAATAGAATAATTGAATTTGAAACTTCGAATACAAATGTGGATTAGTAAGGGATTTTATGGAGATGTTGGTGAAGTTGTTACGACATTAGATGATATAAGGCCCCATTGCGGTGAGTGATGTAGTGGAGGGGACCAAGGTATTTAGTGAAGGATGGTGCAAAGGGAACATGTTTTAATACTTGGTGAATATAAACCAAAGACTTTAGATATATTTTCAATATTTGGTTTAAATATTGGTGTGAGGTTGGTCCATGTGATATCTTTCTGGATTCTCACAAGTGAAACAAAATAAAAGAGGAGGGCGGGACCACAATATGTGGTGCCTGCAGGCACCCGATAATGCATTGTGTGTATTATGACATAAATAAATAAATATATATTGGCATATTTGTTAATTTGTCCTCTAAACTTGTATTGAGCTATCAATTTTGCCTCTTAACTTTAATTTTAGCCGATTACCCTCTTAAATTTTTATAATTAGCCAACTTCCCCCTTGAACTTTAATTGTAGCCGATTACCCCCCCAGGGGAACTTTTATAAATAGCCGATTTCCCCCCCATGCGTTAGATTTTAAAAATTTACATCCAATTTTCCATCAATATTGTCACAGAAACAACACATGACAACTATATGAGGGCAAAAAGGACGAAAAATTGGATGAAAGTTTTTAAAATCTAATGCCAAGGGTGAATTGGCTATTTATAAAAGTTCAGGGGGGTAATTGGCCAAAATTAAAGTTCAAAGGGGAAATTGGCTAATTTGAAAAGTTCAAGGAGGTAATTGGCTAAAATTAAAGTTCAGAGAGGAAATTGGCAGTCGCATACAAGTTCAAGAGACAAATCAACAAATACATACATATATATATATATATCATGATGCATATTACATGGATATATAGCAAAAATAAAGAAGAACCTAGGAAATATTATTAGGGGGTCAGCAAGAATAACACGTAAAGCGCAACATGTTTTGGAAAGTTGAGCATGCAAATTGGTATTTCATTGAACTTAGGTAGTCTTGAGGTCATTTGCCAAGTTATATTACACGTCTGCCGACGGATGCAAACAGTTTTTGAGCGTGCATATCAACTGATGTTAATAGCTTTTGAGCAAGTATGGAGACAGATGCCAACATATACCCAGTGTGCTTATCGACAGATGCCCATAGCAACACATACAAATGCATGAGGCTAGCAACTATCCTACCCAGTGCCCATAGAGGCAATTCGTTGAACAATTGTAAAAATTATCAAGGGCCTCTAAAAATTTTAAGGACTGCATCCAACTCTTCTATGGAATATTTTTGAACTCGGACGAGATCAGCTGACCCACCTTGCGCCAAGGTGTATCCGGCTAAGCAAGCTTTGAAGGCAGAGAGAGGTGGGTTTTTAAGCGGTTGAAAGGCAACATGAAGTCCATGTTCATATGACCTTTTTGTTTGATGATCTAATTCTTACCATATATTGTATGCGGGGTGCACATTAATCTGGTTCTTGTTTCAACCACCGGCCCCTTGAAAAAATTTATGGAAATAGAATTTTGAGGTGCGACCGACAATACAAATACAAAATGATCTCTTCTTTTCGGATATGTTTTCACCAATAATTTTACCATAACATACAAGAAGAAGATGATGAGGAAATCCATAGATTACAAACCGCGTGTTCCCATGGCATTTCGAATCTTTGACTGCTGCTTTAAGAACTCAAATGCAAATCATTTTCAAACATAAATAATTAGACCAACTTAAAATCAATCAGATGACACCAAAGTGAAAGTGCTTGATTACAATTTAAGTAATTAAATAATTAAATTACTTCGTTATCTTCCAAAGCAAATGATTAGGGGGGCACATAATACACAAAACGTTATGGAAAGCAGGAGCAGAATTGTCGTTACATGGTTAACATATATATGGCCCAATATATAATCTTTGATTAAAGCAGTTTATCAAGTGTGCGGCTGACTTTGCTTAAAGCCTTCCTAACTTTTTTTATTTAGTTTTATTTATTTTTCTTTTAAAAAGGAGGACAATTGAGCCTAGAGAAGATAAGTTGGGAATTGCACCACGATTATCATCTCTTTCAGGCCCAGAGAAGGTTAGTTGAAAATTGCACGTTTTATCCGTCGTTACGATCAAGCAGATTCACACCTAACAAATAATCTAATTCAAGACCTCATGTTATTTTTTTTAGGAAGCTTTTGTCCGCACATTTCCACTTGGCCAATTGTTGTGATTAACTTGTTTTCTTTTTAATTTTTTATACTACATACGATAGTATCTATATGAAGGGGTGAGAGGGTAGGTTAAGCCTCATATTGGACTAGCCATAACAATTTGGTTCAAATTCACCTTTGGCGATAATCAAATCTAAGACATTTCACTTATAAATGAAAAGAAATACCATTAAATTGTAATACTAAATAAAGAGAATGGCTAATTTAACTTTTTATTTTTATTTATTTTGCACTGTGGGGAGAAAAGGGTGGAGAGCATCATTTTTATCTATTGGAAAAGCTCCTTTTATGTCTAGTTCCGGAGGGACAACAACATCGTCATGTGTTCCAAGGCTTCATATATTTTTTTGGTTTAGGGAGTGATGCAATCTCTAATCTATACACAAACTAGTTCCTCAAAATTTGTTGTAAGTAATGATTACTCAATTGCATGCCAAAGTGAATCTTTGCGACGGCTAACTTGCACTTATTTATTTATTTTATTAAAGTTATTAGGGGTGGCTACGGATTAAATGTTACCCCGATTGGATGTTAAGTTTGATACTAAACATTTTATTTTACATAACAAGAATTGTTCTAGAAGTTATTTTCTCGTCCATTATACGGTCTTATGATCAACTCGACATCGTATATGTGCAAGTACCCACACGTTTGGTATGATTCTTAAGAGGAGTTTTCTTGATATTAAGTTTACCTCATCAACGTATGAATTATGGAGTGAAGAAAAGAGTTTTTATTTGGACACCCAAACACTCTTGAATTCTCTTTGGACACCCAAAACCAAGATTTTTGTTTTTTAGTTCTAGTTCGCCTATGCCACTTAGTACTACGGTTTAATGGTATTCCTCTACACTTGTAAGTCAGAGGTTTTAGGTTTCATTCTCGCCAAAGGTGAATTTGAACCACATTATTGTCTATTTATTGTGAAGCTTAGCCTACTCTCCCACATCCTTAATATAAATAATATCATTTATTAAGGGAAGTGTTATTAGCACTCCGAAAATCTCATCCTACACTCCTCACAAGTGTATTTTTCTTTCCTAATATAGAAAGTTTGGAGTGTAGAATGAGATTTTTGGAGTACTAATAACAATTCTTTTTATTAAAACAAATAAAGTTCCTAGTTTTGCCCTTATTACTAGTAAAAACAAAATTAAAAAAAACGAAATGTATGGGTTAACACACCAGGCCCAGCCCAATCTTTTTTCCATTAGAAAGTCACATTTATATTGGTGCATCATTTAATACCTTGCGTTGAAAAATTTCTCCCATGAATATTTTTTTATGAGTGATCAGTTGAGATTTAACTCAATAAAATTTAAGTTAAATTAGCCATTCTTAAGTTAAATTTAAGTTAAGTTGAGACTAATCCACCCCTTATATATATATATATATTCAAATTTCTTTAATTTACGGTGACATGGGTTTCACACTCACAACAACTTGTGAATGTATATGTTGTGTTAAGTAGGTCAATCTAAAAAACAATGCCTACAATTGCATGATTCTTCAACTGTAGCCACTGAGTCAAGTAGGTCAATACAAAACACCTGGACAATAGCGCACAATATATGTATTTTCAAACCAGATTAATGACTTCATTTGAATCTAATCAATCAACGGAGTAATGTCCAATTATTACATTACTTGGTGGTTAATCAAGTTAGTCAGCACTTAGCAGGCGGTGAATCAGATGAATTCATTGCCAGCAACTCGGCGAGGCCATCGATAATCATGGAACGGGCATGAGTGCATTTTTTTTTTCCAACCATCCTAAATTGATGATGATGCTCATCATACTTATTACAACTAAATTATTTTAAATTTTAAAATTTATATGGTAAATAGATTAAATCAAATTCATTCACCGAATATCACTACTACTTTGGAATGTTTGAACAAAAATGTTTTCATTAATACAGAGCGCAACGTACGTCAAACGGGTCTGCAAAGAAAGAAAGATGCCACGTCATTAGTGTATCCAGCTGGCACGATTACGTGGACGGACGAGAGATGGTTCCACCAAGTCCGAGCTGCATGTCTGACAAACTCCCTCTTTATTCGTTCCGGGGAACATCGTGGAGGGTCTGTAGAAAGGAGAAGCCGTTTCCGCCTGCCACCTCAACTCTCCTTCTCTCCTTCCTTACACTCTCTCTCTCTCTCTCTCTCTCCCCTGCTGAAATCTAGGGCACAAAATCTTGGCTTTCGACCATGAATGTCTTCAGATTGACTGGCGACATGACTCACTTGGCCAGTATTCTGGTCCTCCTCCTCAAAATCTATGCTACAAAATCTTGCTCAGGTTACACACCTCATCCCTACTCGCTTTCCATTTTCCATTTTCCCTAAACCCCTGTTTGTTTCCTGAGAAAACGCTGGAAATTTTGATGGAAAATTGAATTTCTTTGTTCCCACCTAAATTTTGCTCAATGTAGAAAACTTTACCCAGTAATGCAAACCCAGATTTTATTTTGATCTGTTTAGTGTTAAAGAGAGCAACTTTGTGATTTTCTTATGTTCGGAATTGGATCAGTTTTAAGTGTATTTCCTTTGAAATTGTATGCATTAGCGATTATTAGTTTGGTGAATTGGGCGTTTGGGAAATTGATTTGTTGCTTAATTGTGATTAGGGATTTCGCTTAAGACTCAGGAGCTCTATGCGCTGGTGTTTCTGGCTCGATACCTGAACCTGTTTACGGACTTTATTTCGGTGTATAACACTGTGATGAAGCTTGTGTTTATTGGAAGCTCTCTTGCCATTGTTTGGTGTATGCGGATGCACAAAATGGTGAAGCGTTCTTACGATCAAGAGCTCGATACATTCCGCCATTATTTTCTTATAGCAGGCTGCTTTTTGCTCGCCCTGCTTGTCAATGAGAAGTTCATGTTTCCAGAGGTGAGACAAATTTTTCGACATTCTCGACTTGTTGGATGCATCTAGTCTCGTTTGAAATTGGTTTGCCTGAACCAGGGTATGATTGTAATGGTGAATTGGAACTACTTTCAGGTCCTCTGGGCTTTTTCGATATACTTGGAGGCGGTTTCTATTATTCCGCAGTTAGTTTTGCTACAACGAAGCGGAAATGTGGACAATTTGACAGGGCAATATGTGTTCCTTCTTGGGTAAATATATTTCTTTCCTCTGTACCGTCCCTAACTTGCTATACACTCAGGATATCTTGTGGTTAGGTTTCAATATTTGATTGCTGTTGATGATGTGAAGTTTAGTTGATTTTGTTACTCAATAGGTTTCCTTAAGTCGCTGTTGTATAGATTTAATCTTAAACCAAGATGAACACATTAGTGAAATCTCTGCCAGTGTATGCATTAACTCTGCCAAAATCTGAGAATATATGAGGTTTGAAGAATGAAGAGCTACTTTATCACATAAGAGAGGCATATGCCATTTGAGAAAGCAATACTTGTTGCGGAAAAAACTATAAGGGTGTATGCTATTTCATATATTGGATGCTGACCTCAACTTTAGGGGAAGGTTGTAATCGGGAAAGCATATACGAATGAAGCATGTGACTTGTTTGCTAGTGAAGCAAATTTTCTTTCCGGACTCTGGCAAAGAGGGCCTTACCATGACTTTCCTTCGTTTCGGAAAGTTATGAAGTTGGCCCTTCTTAGGAAAGATAGAAGGGAAGAGGCAATTGGATTGGTGAAGAGGTTTCTAACTGGTTACTAGTGGTAGCTTGTTCGTTTGTGTACAAGATGAATTTGCTCGTCGATGTCTCAGAATCTAACTTCTATGGTTGGGACTCAGGTAAGTGGGAATAGTGTATAGAAGTTAGATTCTGAGACACCGATGCAAATATATATTCTACTTCACACCATAAAATTTCCTTTACGCATACGCGGTTTTAAGATTGGTCCCCAAGTTAGTGTGTGGTTACTAAAGAAGTGTGATTTTGATTCTTGCTTCCTTGAATGAAGGCTGAATATACTGAAAATTTTGAAATCTAGTAAATAAACAGATACAGCAGTTTAGACCAGGTTAGATTGGTAGATGGTATACCGTATACTTGTACGCATTTGTGTGCCAAGTTCATCTTGGATTGTGACATCTTTTCAGAAAAGAATCTGGGGATACAAGTTAAGTTTCATACTGCAGGGCCTATCATGCATTGTACATTCTCAACTGGATCTACCGCTACTTCACAGAGCCACACTTCAGTCGATGGATTGGTAAGTTATGTGAGAACCATTGAGGACGAATGTTTTTTTTTTCTCTACATAGTCTTATTTACTTTGGGGGGTGTGGCGCCTTACTGCTGTTTGTATGGTTTTTTTGCAGCTTGTGTCGCCGGTCTGGTTCAGACAGCTTTATATGCAGATTTTTTCTACTACTACTTTCTCAGGTACCTAATGTGACACCTTCTTGCCAATGATCCTTGTTCACTCTCTTAGATGGTTAACACATAAAGCTGTTTGTTTTGCAGCTGGAAAAACAATGCGAAGCTTCAGCTGCCATCGTAAGCCAAGGAAGCGCGTTTTCGTTCTTACATCTGACTTTTATACACTATGGCTGATAAGCCTACATGCGGGATAACTCTCTGCTGGAAGAAGTGCGTACAGGTTAAGTAGTTCCGAATTAGGATGGCAACCGACCCCATTGCCATAAACGGGTGAGTAGTCAGTCAATTTTGGGTGGAGTTATCCATCTCATAGGCATTTGCAGGTCAGATTAATACCCCCGTTAGTTTTGAGATAATAATATCGAAATCTCGTATGGTCACCTTGTAAAGATGTTGGATCTTGGAAGGATTAATGGAACCCCAGGCATATGGTATAACTCCTATTTTTCCTTTCTTTTTGATGGATGTGTATTTCACGTCTACCGTATGTTTTTGTAATATTGCGTGAGAACAACTTACATGGCAAGTGATGCCAACGTGGCAACGTACTCGTGCTGTATAAGTTTATCTCATATGGACTGTCCGTATGGGGCACTAAGAGTGTCTAATCTAAGAGGTTCCTCATGATTGGGCCTATAAGAGATTAAACAAGGCCCAATTAGAAAGAAATATCAAATGTCAGGAGCTGAAACGAAGCGGAACAAGAAAAATCAACAAACACGTCACACATGGCGACGCACGATTGACATAGTCGTCGTAACTCGTCATTGAAGGTTGTGCCGGGACGCTGACTGTGCCTGCGCCACGACAAATACGATAACGCGGCGGCTAAGTCGCAATTGTGTGTGAGATTTTTCAGGGCGTCGCCTTCCCCTTCCCTCCTTCTACTTATCCATTTGCATCTCTCCCTCCCTCCCTCCCTCTCTCTCTCTCTCTCTCTCTCTCTCTCTCTCTAGCTCTGCGTTTGGAGCTCTCTCAGGTAAACACCTTTCTCTTTTTTTTTACATGATTAATTTGGATTATCGTTCTGGAATTTTGATAATCTCTTGAGGTTTTTCCAAGCGATTTTAGTACAAAATAATTGGATATTTGAGATTTTGAACTGATTTGCTTAAGTTGATGCGATTAGATTGTAGATTATGTGATTTATACATCATGCAACAAGAAATCAACGCTTGAAACTGTGAAATCTGAACCTATATGTGTTAATTACCGATTATTACTTTGCTTAACGACGATTATTACTTTGCTTTAACGAAATGGTTACCAAACGGCCCCGTAGTTTTCGTTTCAAAAATCCGAAGCTAAATTATATTATGCGTACGTTGCATTTCAGTTAATTCTTAGCTGATCTGCCTTTATTATGCTATAACTTGTGGAGTTAGCAACTGATTGCTGGTAGCAGTTTAATTTGTATAAATGGCGGGGAATTCCTTTTTCGTACTGTTAATTTGTTCTTGATTTTAGTTATCCATTGCTTAATCAATTTTATGGTTCTAAACATTTTCGGCTTAATTTGTAGTGCTTAAAATGGGAGGAGGTTTTCGAGTTTTGCATTTGGTGAGGCCGTTTCTTTCTTTTCTACCGGAAGTTCAAAGCGCTGACAGAAGGATCCCCTTCAGAGAGAAGATTATATACACCGTGATTTCCCTGTTCATCTTTCTGGTGTGCAGTCAGCTTCCCCTTTATGGCATTCACTCGACCACTGGCGCTGATCCATTTTATTGGATGCGCGTTATTCTTGCATCAAGCCGTGGGACTGTGATGGAGCTTGGTATAACCCCCATTGTGACATCTGGGATGGTCGTGCAGCTCTTGGCCGGTTCAAAGATCATTGAAGTTGACAACAATGTTCGTGAGGATCGTGCGCTATTGTGAGGATTTTTACTTTAATTGTTTGCTTTAAACAGTTTTCCTTGCTTTGATTATTGAATGATATGACGAACTTTGTTTTTGGAGTTGCATATTTTGGTACTTTTCAACTTCTGCTTGTTCCTTCCTTTGCCTTGCTACGCTAATTGCATGTTATGAAGAAACTTACTTTAGAGGTTGCGTATTTTGTTAGTTTTCAAACCATGCTTAGTTCTCCTTTGGTCCTTCCTACTTCCTGGTATAATCTTGGTTTAATTTGTTTCATCAGTAAAGTAGCAGTTTACGTATAATTGTTCAGCTTGTTCCTTCCTTACCTTGATACTCTGAGATAATGATCCTTCAGTTATGAGTCTTACAACTTAATCGGGTGGCTTTGCTAGTATTCTAATCTCTTGAATTTTATCGGCTTCTAATTTGCAGAAATGGGGCACAAAAGTTGTTGGCCATCCTCATCGCTGTTGGTCAGGCTGTTGCTTATGTGGTTTCAGGAATGTATGGTAGTGTTGCTCAACTTGGTGTCGGGAATGCGATTCTTATCATTGTTCAGCTCTGCTTTGCTGCAATTATTGTTATTTGCCTAGATGAACTTCTTCAGAAGGGATATGGTTTGGGATCCGGGATCTCCCTTTTTATAGCTACCAACATCTGGTACGCTAGAAACCTGTATTTCTTTTACCTTTTAGTATTATATATATAATCTATGGTCTTGCCATACTTGACTTTTGGTTTGATTATGCAGTGAAAGCATCATCTGGAAGTCCTTTAGCCCTACAACTATCAATAGCGGACGGGGAGCTGAATTTGAAGGTGCCATCATTGCACTGTTCCATCTCTTGATCACCAGGACCGACAAAGTTCGTGCTCTTCGCGAAGCTTTCTACAGGCAAAACCTGCCAAATGTTACTAATCTGCTTGCTACAGTCTTGATCTTTCTCATTGTCGTCTACTTCCAAGGTTTTCGTGTTGTTTTACCAGTGAGATCAAAGAATGCCCGTGGACAGCAAGGATCATATCCTATTAAGCTTTTCTACACCTCTAACATGCCCATCATTCTCCAGTCTGCTCTTGTCTCCAATCTTTATTTCATCTCTCAAGTAAGTTACTAGGCAATAAAAACTAAAGGCTCTTTACTGCAGTTGTTAATTAATTGACATGAAACTTTTTTTCTTCGTACAGTTGCTTTACAGGAAGTTCAGTGGGAATTTCTTCGTGAATATTCTTGGAAAGTGGCAGGAGTCTGAATATTCCGGCCAATCTGTTCCAGTTGGTGGTCTTGCCTACTATATCACGGCTCCAGGAAGGTGATCCAGCACGTTTTGTTGCTTAACCTTAGAATCTCCTGGCATTATTTATCATGTTTCGTGTGTGAAAGCATGTATTAATAGCATTGGTTCTTTTTCTTTGTCAATGTGGTTTTAATTGCAGCTTGGCGGATATGGCAGCCAATCCATTCCATGCTCTGTTCTATCTAGTGTTCATGCTTTCAGCCTGTGCACTCTTCTCAAAAACTTGGATTGAAGTTTCTGGTTCTTCAGCCCGAGATGTAGCTAAGCAGCTCAAGGTATTATTTTTCCTCCTCATCCTAGTTCTATGATTTCTTTGTGATATCCCTCAAATTGATGTTACAAAAACAATGACATTTTGGAGAGCTCATAGCATGACTGTAAATGTGAAGACATGAGATTTCTAGGATTAAATTTATGATTCTCAAACAACTTAACGTCACGAACTAATACGTTTATGGTTAATGATTGACATTTATGTTGCTTAATTCTGCAGGAACAACAAATGGTGATGCCTGGACATAGAGATTCAAACTTACAGAAGGAACTAAACCGCTACATACCTACTGCGGCTGCATTCGGAGGCTTGTGCATTGGTGCCTTGACTGTTCTGGCAGATTTCATGGGAGCAATTGGTTCTGGGACTGGGATTTTGCTTGCTGTCACGATCATCTATCAGTACTTCGAGACATTTGAGAAAGAGAGGGAAAGCCAACTTGGCTTTTTCGGCCTCTAAGCCCTAATAAAAGGAAAGGTAGTTGAGAGCTGTAAGTACATCCGACCTTGGATAACACTAGGGATACATTTGAGGTCGAATTTGTAGTTTGGTTACGGTTTTTCACTTGTTACGTCTTCTTTTATGGATAGCCTTGCATGCAATAATTTGTTTTTGACACGATGATATTCGAAATTACTCTTAATCCATGGGAAGTGGGATTCTCGAACCCAGGTAGAATGGAGTGGTACATTGCCATGACCAACGGACTATGAACTAGTGTGACGTATTAGGTGACTTGTACGTAAAAGTATTGGTTCACACCCAACCCGGTCTCTAATATTGGGCCTACCCTGCCCATGACCTTGGGTCAGTCCAATTCATGGCTGAAAAACTGGATGGGGTTGGGTTGGAAGTCCAATATACCAGTATTTTCTTTTTTATACACAAAACAATATTGATAGCATTTTGAAGCAATTGAACTACAAGCCACTCGCATCGTATATGCCCATTATCGCACTATTTTAAGTTTTTTGTGTTTTTACTGTATTTCCTCTTCTCCTTTAAGCTACTCAAGTCAAGAGTATACGTACGATTTACTTTGTAATTATTTGGTGATTAGTGAGTGTGTCTGGTTTGTGTTAGTGTTTTTATGAAGTGAGCAATCATGGTGCTTCCTGGTAATTGGACAGACTTCAAACTTTGGAAGGATGGATTCTATTCGTTGCAACTTTTGGCCTTATTTTTTGTACATTTAGCTGCAAAAATTGAGCCCCATTTTGCACTAGATTAAGTATGAGTCGTATGATTGGATTCCTTGGGTATAATTTTTGGTAGCAAGCAAAGCAAAGACGCTTGCTTGACACTCGTGTCCCTCACAAAGTTATGCTAAGCTTAATAGGGGTGTTTTCTTTGTTAAGCTTAAAATAACCTACGGTAATCATGCTTTTTAGGATATGGAGTTCAAGGTTTTATAAGTCAAGTTGTCATGCAAAGCATAAAGATGGCATGAAAGATGGATTAAATATGTAAAAGGAGATAAAAGGGATTTGAGGACGGTCAAAATTTGGTGTGCAAAACGGCTCGGGGAGATTATTATGAACATTCGACTATATATTCTCATGTTTGTGTCATGTGATAAGTGTTACTGAAATAAACTGAATATGGATGGTGTTATGGATAGTGTTATGCATGGTCATGTGATCAGCGTTATATTTCACGACAATATACTTTTTTCATTCATAAAGTGAGTAGTATTATAGAAAAACCCGTTGATATAAGAACTTACCATTAAGTGAACAAGTAAGAAATCCGGCCACAAATTAAAGCGGATTGGAAATCAACACCTCTAGCTCTATCATCCCTTTTTCTTTCCTGTGCACCGGGTTGTGTGCTCGTGGTTTGCGCATGACTTGATTCACTCTAATGTCATAACGACATTATAACGATACTCCAACAATCTAATGATAATCCAATGACACTGTAACCACACATTGGATTTTATTGTTGTTGTTACAATGTCATTTCGGCGTCAGATTTTTGTTATTGTATTGTGTTGTAGCTATGGCGTCAATAGACCCAACCGGGTCATGCGCAACCCACGCACAAACTTCGTGTGCAGGAGAGAAAATCGTCCTAAACTAGGACTTGCCTTCAATGGTATGACTATTTTAACCGTTGAATGTGATTTTAAAAATTATTAAATTTCTTATTTTCAGTCATAACTACTTTCGTATCATCGAATGATGCAAAATCCCTAAAACTAAAGGGACTAGAGAATATAGCAATTGTACTTGGAATTTATCTTTAGGCCTAAACTTTCTCCTAGAACTTTGAGTCTGAGACATTCTCTTACTATTAGCCTAGAGGGACACCAAGCCGCCCAGTGGACATTTAGCCTAGAGCCTACCTCTGCACTAGTTCACTGTATAAACGTTGTATTCCGAATCTTATAGATTGGGACCAAGAAAAGGAATATCGTATAGATGATGCGTTGGCTTTTGCCAATATATATAGCCTGGAAAGCTGATTCTGCTGCACTGAGTCACTGAACCACCGCACCAAGGACAACGGTCCAGATTCCACTGCACCACAAGTCCCCTCCGATCTCAATTACGAGTATGAAGTTGGAGGTCTCAACCCTTTTGATATGCCATTGAAAATTTACAGCAACTGGCATGCAATGTGAATGTTGAATGCCCTACAGTAACTCCCACTTTGCACTTGGCCATGAAATATCATCTATATATAAAACATTATGTTGAAAGCATGAGAGGTGAAGAGTTCATGGAGAGTCTCATTTTGAGAGGACCTTCTTAATATTTCTCTTCTCCAAGTCACGATATATAGCCAAAGTTACTTGAACAAAAATAAATTTCTTTGCATGCATGTGAAACTATGATAATGTCGACAATTGGAAAAAACTTTGCATGTAAGAAGAAGTCAAATATTTTTCGAACAAAGATTAATTGCTACAAACGTGAAATAGTACTGCACTAGCTGGTTCTCAGTAGCACTATGAAACTTCGGATGGCCATTGTGAATATGTAATGTGATTAGACAGCACAAGATGCAGGGAGGGAGGGAGGGGGATTGGGAGACTTTAACTACAAAGCACAAACTAAAGCAACAAGCCAAAACAAAGCAAAAGATGCAAATCTGGGAAACTTAAGCTTGTTAGCATATACTGCGTTTGGGAAGATTGGAAATCAACCAAATGTAAATCGATATGGAAATTAGTTAGGAGAAAACAAGAGGTAGTATGTATTCGTTTCGAAAAACCAATTATTAGGCAACAAGGGATGGGGGTACGGATTCTCAACTTTGTTTGCCATTAGCAAACCCTAATCACCAAACTCTGCGTACCTAATCACATCATGTAGTTCTATATGAATCTATATATATGCAACGTACTTATGGCTTGCTGCTTATATGCTCGCGTACCTTGTTTCCCAAACGCGCTTCTCTAACAAATTTTCTTCATTTTCTTTACCAAAAAGCTAATTGAATGCAAATAATTCAATTGATTTACAATCTCGTTGTTCTCTCATATTTTTAGTCTTAATTTGTAATTCGAAATGGCCACGCTAAAAAAGAAGAACTAGAAGTCATGATACGTATATAAACTATTATGTTTTTCATAAGATAATATTGAAGAGAAGGCTATGTGAATATTTTTGCTCACCACTCTCAATTAGTGGTGATGCTCACCACCCTATTTGTAATTGTTAGATAGATTTAAATTTCAAGATCTGTGTTATGGATATATACAAATCTTAAAATTTAAATTCATACAACGGTGCTAAAGAGGGTGATGACAGTAACCATTACTTGAGAGTGGTGAGTAAAAATACAACCGGAAGCTAAAGATGATTACAAATTCAACTAAATAATTTGCTATAATTCTGTTCAATCCACAGTGATGATATACTAACGTCGCATGCCAAAAAAGAAAGAAAAGATTATGTTCATGTTATAGATTATTACCAACTGCTAGATTAGATATATAACAAAATAATGTTGTATTTCAAGAAACATGCAATTTGGTCTGCCATGCAAAATTCAAGAAATTATATATTATTGCATGGAAAATAGTTTTGCTTGCCACTGGTGTTCGAAACTTGGGGAGTTGTTGAGGTCGTGGTCCCATGATTGACCACATTACAACTTTAGTGTAGTACACGGTTTATTCTTAATGAAGGTTCATTATGTATAATCTTATTAATTAATTGGATAAAATGCCATGATAATGAGAAATGCACGATCTAATATTCACAACCATGATTTGGTTAGTCAGATATAATGATACAAGAAGAGAGAAATAAGACGTCTACTTAACGTCTATGTAGTTAAAAAAAGTAAGTACTTTTGCTTAATTATGTTTTATGCTTTGAATTAAGATATCCCGACAATTTACGACCTATCATTCTTATTTATTTTAATACAAAACTCGGGTCTACAACAATTAAAAAACCGGAAAAGTGTATATAATTATGAAAGATTGGATATGATTTTCATTGTATATCTGGATCGATTTGATCGCTTTTGTGCATGTAGATTTGTATTTGAAGTTTTTGTAAATGTGTTTCTGAATATTGCTTTATCGTTTCATTCGAGTTTAGGAGTTCCTCTAACTCTAATTATAAGTTCGTAAATGTCATTATAATAGTATTTATAGAGTTCATTTTTCCATTATAACATATGCAAATCCAGCACACTCGCTATCATCCTCTTAAGTCAAATGGATGTGTTCGGTTATGGGTCATATTTCAGAGTGGGTAGTTTTTTCTATGGACCAAGCAACTTTTGTGTAGGGATGTGCCTTATTTTATATAATTAACCTTTGGTTATGTAGACAAATTTTGTCCCACTCCTGTTGTCTGTCAATAATGTCCAAGAAGGCCACTAATTTGAATTTTGAAACATATCTATTATCCACTTTCTATCTTTTATGAGCACCTTAGTTACTTGAAGAATTTTTAGTTAAAGTGATTTATGAGATTAATTTAACTCTTTATTTTAATTTTTGACATTGAAAGTTGATAGAATTGGTTCTTGAGTTTATACACTGTAAGTTGTTTTGATCACTCTATGAAAGATCCGTCAATGTTCTTGTTAAGTGGAGGGTTGGTTTGACAAAAGTACCTTAGTAGTCGTGTGGTTGTTCACGTGACAATGTAATGAACATATTGACAAATTTTTCAATAATAACCAAAATAATTGATGATGGACAAACTTAAGAACCACTTCTATCGATTTTCATTATCAAGAACCAAAATAAAGAATTATACTAATCTTAAAGACCATTTTTACTATAAGCAATTACTGAACGTAGTATTTGGATCAATGATCCAGTGAACAAGTTAGCTCTAGCGACACATGTTCAAGTACTAAAGCAAGAATGAAACCCATAACTGAAAATGGACTAGTTGATTGATCACACGTTGTATTGAAATATGTTGGTCCATTCATTGTCACATGCAGTGTGAGTACAATCTTCGAGTTTTCCTTATTGTTTTGACCATACAGAAAGTGGGAGATCCAACACGTTTTTTACGAGGGAATGATACCGATCTTCTCATTTCAACTTCTTTGGTCTATTTTTTCAGTTTTTTCATCCAAAAAAGTTGTACATTGATTGAAACGATTTACTCTAGTTCACTATTTAAAGATTAGTTATGTAGAAAATCATTTAAATTAAAAATCGTTCAACAATTTCATTGAAATTGT